CGTCAACCAAAAGAACGCCCTAGATTGAAGCAAATGCGGCCAATTGTTGTAAACAAGAATCTCGGCAGCACAAATCAGCATACTGGAAAAGACGATCCCCAAGAGTATGAGAGTAACGATTTCACAATGTTGAAAAGTTGTAGCAGTGCCTATTTGTTGTCTACAACAAGGTTCTCAATGAATTTCGATGAGCTGGGCTGGGACATATAGGAATGTGACCAATGCACCATGCGGGGAATTGAAGGCCTTCATACAATTGAACAGTGGCATTTATAAAAAGGCTGTAAACGCTAACTTGTGTGGTGGTGACTATTATAGTACAGTTCCACATCAGCCTAAAATCAACCAAACAATCCAAATATGGTGGGCAGATTGCTTGATTGAGTTGACCTTGCCAACTTATAGCCAGAATGGGATATTGGACATGACTTATGAGAGGGGGTAATATTTCATGATGAGGAGGAGGAGGAAGGAAGAGGACGAATGGTAAATCTATCTTTATATCCTCCGGAGCTGAGCTGCAAAATAGCTGAAAAATCCGGAGTACACTGTTAAGCTTGGTGTCGCCACTTCTCAACCCTCAGATATGAACCACACAACGAAATCGTTGTAAAAATTCCTCAAAGACACTGGTCGAAATGATTGCATACGTGGCACATTTTGATAAACTGGTTTCATGATCTGTACAATCGCTGAATCCTCCAAGATTGGGATGAAAAATGCTGCCAATGCGAACCTGTTTGCAAATATGTTTGGAGGATTGCACGCCACCCGATTAGCTTCCGCTGAATTTATGTCAGGCCGTTATCGGCAAAGAAACGCAACAATGCATTCATGCCACTATGTATGATTGGCTGAAAATTTTTGAAATCCAGATTTGAACATGGCTGTGTGTACTCGAGAATTGGAAAGTAATACCATTCCATTCCAATATCTGATCGTGTCAACCTACCTACGCTGTTGACTGTAAAATTGATCATTAGTTGTGTTGTGCTGATAATCGAAGCGGGACACATGATTGAAATGAGGGGACTGACTGATTAACGCAACACCACAGACAAGTCGGAGATTGGGTAGTGCAAACGGCGACCGTCTGACATGGCAGCCACCCGGGCGAAAAAACACAAAGCGCCGAGCCTTCGCCTGTCCCGCCTTCCGGCGCGATTGGATTTGCGTCGAAGTCGACGAATCTGGGATCGTACAGCTCCGTCGCGGACACGTCGGCAGCGATTGCGCCACGGCAAATCCGGCTCGAACTGACCTCGGGGCCTTGCACCTCCGGGATCACGCAGAAATCCGTACCTTGGGTGAGAAACACGCGGGAAGCCGCTTCGATTCTCACAGCATCGCTTGGAAACCCATGCACTCGAACGGCGAGATTGCAATGGGGGTGCTCTGCCGAAATTCCAGCGCAGGAGACCTCAAACTCTTGGCTGTGAGGCCGACCGAGTCGGGCTGCCCACCACGGCCTGTGTGCACGGGCCGCACACGAGGAGAATGCCAACAAAGTATTTACAACTTCACGGACTATAGTCCGCCCGCTCAGCCCCTCAGACCCTGGGCACAGCAGCATGCAGCCTGCGGCCCGCACACAGCACCGCAGCCACTCTCCAAATACCCTAGCCACGTCAGAAAGGGCAGCACAAACAAATCTTATACAATTTCCATCAGATCACGTCCAAACATGGTAGTTTACATCATTCTCACTCTCCTTGCGCCCCATACTCTACTATTCGCATCACATCTGAGCGTGCTTCCGCAAACCTCACAGCATACTCTTCTAATCCTCACATAATCCCCTTGCAACGCTCAGGTGGATATCGCTTCACTCCTTCGTCACCTTTTCAGCACACGCGCAGCACCACAATCGAATCTGTGCCACGACCTGAAAGATTCGCAGGAATATTCGTTCACACCTACGGCTCCGCCTGCCCTTTTCCCGCATTACAATGTACTGCTCACAAACAGTACTGTGACGTCACAGCTACGCCACAAATCAGCCCAGAGATATTTCTTGATTGAATTAAAGGACTGATACACTCACCCAGTGTATCAGCAACAAAAGTCTATAAACTTTCATGATCAGATTCTTGATGTTTCCGTGCGTGACAGGTCGCATCCCAAATGGGCTGTCAAGCCTCACAGAGCCACGTAAAATGCATCAGCCGGAGGCAGAAGAATTGAAAAGAAATGACATCACACCTTGCCCTAGCCTACTGCGAATAAATGTGCATCTATCAGCCAGAAAATCGACGTAAGATTTGGAGCTTTGACGCACAACAGTCGCTGAGAAGTCGAAAATATTTCCAGCACGCATCTTGAGAATTCTTCAATCAATTGGAGCAGGAATCCAAGTCTCTGATTCGCCAATGTATTCAGCATAGGCTCGCAGCAATCAGCATAGTTTGGGATGTGCAATCTCAGCCCTGCAGCGTCTCACTGGACGCCCACGGTGGTTATCTTGTCTGCCACTGTGAGTAATCCGGCGGCAGTACATCATCTGGCCCCACGAAGCCCGTCACCTGTTCCCGTGAGACCGTTGCTGCGTTGCGCTACCACCAGCGCTAGTGCCTCTCGCCGTTTGCGCGTTCCGCAAGCAGCAATACCACGCAGCCTTCGAGGCCTCCACCCTGGCCGTGGATCCATCGGCGAAGCTTCGCACGAGTTGCAACCGTCGCCGGTTCCACCGATTGCCATCGGCGCTTGCAGCCCCTCGATCCCGATTGCGGGTGCGAGCCAATCGACACACATTGCAGCGGCCGATCGGTGGAGGTCCATCCTTCCGGCAGTGCTGCGTTGTCGGAAGCTGCTTCCGAGTGAGGACGCAGGTTCTTGAGCCAAGCGCGCGCGTCCAGAGGGGTGGCGCACAGAGCCCAGTGCGCCGCGTCACTTCCTGGGATGCAGGACCTTCCGTGGCGTTGGTATCGTGTCGCGTATCTTGGTAGAATTGGGAGGACATCGAGATACCCATACGCCTTGCCGCATTGCAGTCTCCATATTCTCCTTTTATATTGGAGTTCGTCCCTTTCGAAGAGACTAAGCCCTTTTTTACTTTTGCGGAATTTCGCCATTGTCTAGCCACCTTTTGAGGTTCACGGGTCGCCAGCTTGCCATAAATTTCATATCATATATTGGGGACCCGAACAGTAGCCGTTATGTATTGTTGAAAGGGAGAGAATCACGCTTAAACACTCCATCTTTTAGCTCAGAAATGCCGCCTTATAAACTGTATTGAAGCTCAACATTTTTCTAGGTGAATATCGCACTCATGCTGATCAAAACAGATAAAATTCCTACCTTGAGGCTGAAGTAACTCAGAGAAAATGGAGCAAGTAGGATAACCGTGCTCTCTAATCACCGTGTGAATATCGCAGATTGGTTTCCGATCCAAAGTGCCCTTTGAGAGCAGAAGCAAGACCAAAAGGCTTGAAAATATCCAGTGAACATTGGCAAATTTGAGGAAAGAATTTTGGTGATTTTCTTGATGATTTCCTATCTGCGAAAAGTACACGTTGCGCTTGTATACCCATTGCAGTATGACTAGCTGAACTTCTGCCGAGTGCAGTTCGCGGGCTGATTGGCCACAAATCCCTAATGTCACGGAACACAAGAAGTTGTAGCAATTTCGGGCAGTCTTGTTCGCTGTGTGTGATAGCTGGAATATGGAATGAGCCAATATTGTACGGGCTGCATCCACACTGCAGATTGTGACTTGCGGTGACAGGCGATGGAGCGGCCCCTTGGTGACCAAAATGAATTTTGCTAGCTGCTTATGGTGTGTTTGTGCCATGTGGGCTGATCTGCATCAATGGCTCTGGGCAAGGTACATTCCTTCACGGTCGGTGGAAGAACGGCGTGCAGACGCAGTTCCAAGAGCCTCCAAAGCTATAGGTCCATCAGTCGCAGAGTCGGCCAGAAAAGATTCTAATGACAAACAGTGGCCATTTTTGGATTACGTTAATTTAGGCTTGGGGCAATGAAGGGCCTGTGGCTGGTGTAACCGTACTGCTTGTAAATGGGAGCGATGGTGCAGAGCGGCCAGAAAGGAGAACCAAACACCAAGAATTCAAGTGCGGGAAGCACATGTCATCGTGTAGAGATTTGTCGATGATCGCCCTAAATATGTATGTTTTTCACATATGTGTGTCGATGAGCATTAGAGATCCCTGGGATCGCAAGGCTAGTTGAGTGGGAATTTGGTGTTGATCTGCAAGAGATGGAGAACCCAACAAGAAAAAATATATTGAACACATGTGGGCCTGTGTGGGCTAAAGCATCCTGACCACAAACGATCGACTCTATTCAAGAGCATGCCAAAGGTATCACCATGAAACTGCACCACCTTTCGCATGAAAATGTACATAAATATCACTGTAGCGCAACCAATCCTAGTTTCTGGACGTGCATGTCGGAAATTTCAAGATGCTGCTTGGCAGCAATGATGTCCCTAGGCACCACAAGAGCCGGCCACCTCGTCAATGCCCCTCCTCTGTCGCTCCAAATCAAGGCGATGTACAGTATAAGAAACAAAAAAGAACATCTTTAGCACAACCAACAAGGGATTCCAAAGAACAAGAACCAAAATCCCCAAGTCTTGGAACCCTAAAGCACAGAAGGCATGGAGTTGGCATCATCATGTGAACGCCTTGAATTTCAAGGTATCCAGGGTTGCAACGACTTGCGAGTTTGCAAGAGTAGCGCCCTGCCTCCGCCCCATTGGCCCGAAATTCTTGTTAAGATCCCACAGCCTGAGGCACAACTGCCACCGGATGATCATTAATTATCGCCGATTGCTGGCCAAAAGATGACCTTTTTGTGTTGCAGTACTCCAAAAGCAGCCCCCCCTTCCCACCCACCCACCGATCACTGCATAATCGACCCGGTGGTCGCGCGTCCTGAAAGCGGCGCCCTGCACGCGACGCCAGCGGGGCTTCAGCAGCCCCTTGAGCGCCGCCGACCCTCCCGGCTGCCCCCCAACTCGGGCAAGGGCGGCGGTCCCCATGGAGAACGGCGGCACGGCCACCGAGAAGAAGGCCGTGCAGCAGCGGGGCGACGTGCCCCTGATCGGCCGAACGGTCTTCGACCAGAACCTTTACGGGCCGGACGACAAATTCTCGGGCTATGAGACATCGATTCCGGTGGCGGAGGAGGTGGAAGATGTGGTGGACGAGCAGGAGCGCGAGCTGCGCAACCGCATCAAGGCCGCCAAGGCAGACCTGCCGGATGCGGAGCCTCAGGAGGTGGGCGCGGGGAAGGGCTGGCCGGTGGGTCAGGCCCAGGAGGGATTTGGGCGGGGTGGAGCAGAGTAAAGCACACCCGGCCGCTGTGGACTTTGCATTCGTAGGCTGCGCATGTTCTGGGTGGCTTCAGGCTTCAGGGTATCTGCTGTCCATGGGTTTGTGTTGCCCTGCGCGGGACACGGGAATGCTGCGATGCATTGTTTGGGGGACGGAAGTGGGATGCGTAGATTGGCGTTTCCGGGGCTCATGTGCTGCCGCCAAAGCTTCCACGCCAGATTCCTTTGTGACTTGTTGCCTCCTTTGGAGAGAAAACAAATCTCGTCAGGTCCTTGTTTGAATCCATACACAGTGCCCCTCCCCACTCCACCCCCCTCCGCGCCCCAGGTTGGTCATTCGATATCATTCCCCTGCTGAAATGCTGACAGCATGGCTGGGTTATTTGTTTACCAGGTTTCGGGATTCAATAAGCCTGCAAAGATCACTGACAGAGAGGATGACTACAGGCGCCAACGCCTTGTCCGGACGCTGTCCCCAAAGCGCCATGATGCTTTTGCGATGGGGGACAGGACACCCGATGCCCATGCCACAACATACGCCGACAGGCTCAGGGGAAATCTCCTTGACATGGAAAAGGACAATACGATCAGGAACATTGCTGAAAAGCAGAAGCTGGAGGGGCTGAGCTCTGTGGAGAAGAAGGCAGTCCAGGCGGCTGCCGCACAAGCACAGGCCCAGCTAAAACAAGTCACGGGCGAAAAAAGGCGCAACCGATGGGACCAGACAGGGCAGCAGGATGCGTGAGTAACTTCCCCACACTTGCTGGATGGCGCACTGGTCTCCATCGTGATAGAATCTTGGAGTTTAGCTGTTGTGAGCTGCAGCGCTGTTGTGATGAGGTGGATCTTCCTGATAATGCAGTTGCCACCCTAAAAAATCATGAACTGTGTTGAGTACTGTTGTTTGTAACTGGGCTGCATGGGCAGGTTCGTGGCAGTTTGCATGCTGGGCAACTGTCACGGCTCGGCATGTACATGTTCCGCCTGTGTATTTTCGGGGCTTGTCTGCCGACAGCATGGTGAATGCTCGATTTCTGTTGGGTTGAAACAGGAAGAAGGCAAAGGCCAGCTCTGACTGGGATGCTGATGCCACTCCAACACCAGCAGCCTCCAGATGGGATGCCACGCCTGGTGATGCAGATGCAACGCCAGGCAGATGGGACAGCACTCCAACACCCCTTGGTCTCAGCGCCGATGCCACACCAACACCGGGCCACTTCACTGAAGCGACCCCTCGAAGAAACCGCTGGGATGAAACGCCAACACCTGCAAGGGTATGAAATGAAAATGGCTGTTATATGTTCATGCAGCATTTGTGGGTGGAATCAGTTCTTGTTCAGTTGTTGGAATTCAGACTGTTGCAACCACAGTTGGTATGAGCCTGCTTCTCAAGTATTTCAAAGTGTCCAAGCAACCTGGTGTTTAGCCTTCACGTGTCCTGGACGGTGGGTGGACTGAAGTTAAGCTGTGCAACACAAGTGTGTCGATTGTATTGTGAAGGATCGTATCTCACCCTGCCCGCCACAGTGTGCTGTCAGCTGCCCATGCTTTGGATTATTCAAAGATGCAGTATCACTGACGGCCTGGACATTCCCTGTGTTAACTTTATCAGCAACTTTCACTAAGTGGGGCTATCAGGGGCAAAACTGGTGCTCGCAAGAACAGCCTGAGAATTCCTTCATTGTGGGGTGCCAGGCTGATGCAACGCCGGCGTGGGGAGCAGAGACACCTGCAGGAGCTATTGGGGTAGGTGGTGAATGTGAGGTCTGCCTGCAGAGGGCATGGTGGACAGCAGTCCACTGCGGAAACATATGTATGATATATTCGAAGGCTTCTTTGCACTCCCTTCTGGACAAAGTCTAGATATGTCCATGTTTCAGTGATGTCATCCAACCCCTAGCAAATGCTGCCATAGCCGCTGCATTGCAGATTTCAATCTGCTGTTGAGACCTGGTTCTTCTGCCTTGGATTCAAGCCCTGTTGCTGTGTGTTTCATCCTGTGTTTATGCATCCTTAGGAGTCAATCATCTGGATGCCATTTACTTTGCACTTCAGCATCATTGGTCACAGGACCTGCAGCCTTGGGATGGGGCTCCATGTTTAATGAATTCAGTTTGAGATCCTTATCTGATGCTGCTGTCACTGTCCAGGCAACTCCAACACCTGCAGCTCGGCGACAGAGGTCTCGATGGGATGAGACACCAGCAGGAGGACCTTCTGCAACCCCTGGCCCGAGTGCGACACCTGGCATTGGTGCAACACCAATGATGACACCTGGCCTTGGGATGGGTGTCACCCCATTGGCAGTGCCAGGCATGGAAACTCCCTCTCCAAGTGCTGTTCCCAAAGTGCCGCTCACACCTGAACAATACCAGGTAAGGACAAACTGTGTTAAGGTGCAGTGATTACTTGGGAAGGCATGGTAGCATTCTCATGTCCCTGTGTCTGAAGTCTGCAAGTCTACAATTCCATGCTTATGTTTCTTGTGAACCAACCAAATGGTGATTGGGGATTACTGAAGTCTCTTGTGGTCATGCCACAGGAGAAAATGCACAATTGTCCTGATGCATAAGCCAGTGCTGGGTACCTGAGAATCGCACTCCTCAGCTTGCCAGCCAGACAGCCGTGGAAGAAGTATAAAGAATGTGCCTCAGAGTCACGCAGTTTCATTTTTCCTGCCTCTCTTCTTCCTGAACGTTTTGGCTTTTGTGGCGCTGAGCGCTTGTGTGCTTTTGTTTTCTCCAGCAAATGCGGTGGGATAGGGAAATAGAAGAGAGGAATCGGCCACTTACTGATGAGGAGCTGGATGCCATGCTGCCTGGGCAAGGCGAGGGGTATAAGGTGTTGGAGGTGCCCCAAGGATACCAACCCATCAGAACACCTGCAAGGAAGCTGACAGCGACACCAACACCTATTGGAGGGACGCCACTGTACCAAATACCGGAAGATAACATGTAGGTTGACTATTGCACCTTAGTTGTTTAGGCTGGTTGGTTCCGCTCGTGGGTTTCAGGCTCAGTTGGTGGCTGCTGGCTTCGGTGGTAAGTCACAGAAAAGTCTCAACGGTTTGTGTGACTATGAGGTCTTTCTGACAATCTTGTCTTGGAATACCACAAAAAGCTCTTGTGGGACTGTATGTTGAATGTTATGGTCGGGGGAAGGGAATGCCGGTGGCATGGGGCACAGGCGATTCATCAGGTTGTCCTGCTTGTTGCAGCAATCACTGCTGTGCTACCAATTCTCAAGTGGACAAGTGGGGACCACATCTGCTGGCCCTTGCCCTGGCATTGAAAGGTAATTGGCAACGTTGCACTCTTGTTGACAAAATGCTGTTGATTTTTGTGCAGTCTTGGACGTTCGGATGTACCACCCACACCAGAGGGCCTTCCAGAGATGAAGCCTGAAGACTTGCAGCACTTCGGAACGCTCCTGCAGGAGGTGAACGAAGAGGAACTGGGGGTTGAGGAGGCCAAGGAACGGAAGATCATGAAGCTGCTTCTCAAGGTCAAGAACGGGACGCCTCCACAAAGAAAGTCAGCACTCAGACAACTGACAGACAAGGCTCGAGAGTTTGGTGCCGGTCCACTCTTCAACCAGATCCTCCCACTACTGATGCAGCCAACATTGGAAGACCAGGAGAGGCATCTGTTGGTCAAGGTGGGTGCACCATTGTGAATGGCTCGAGATGGTGCTTGTTTCTCTCCTGGATGTGTTGCAGTGTAATCCAGATGGTAACCGGCCTTGGCGCATGGCACCCTTGATTTGGCTATCGTGGATTGAACTTGTGATGTGTGAGACCGCACATCCAGGAATTCCATGTCTCTGCTAAAGGTTTGCTGTTTGTGCAGGTCATTGATCGGATTCTTTTTAAGCTGGACGAGCTTGTACGTCCTTATGTCCACAAAATCCTTGTGGTCATTGAACCCCTGCTCATCGACGAGGACTACTACGCACGAGTTGAGGGCCGTGAAATCATTGCAAACCTGTCGAAAGCTGCTGGCTTGCCTTCCATGATCGCAGCCATGAGGCCTGATATTGACAACGTTGATGAATATGTCCGAAACACTACCGCAAGGGCATTCAGTGTCGTTGCGTCGGCACTGGGTATTCCAAAGCTGCTGCCATTCCTGAAAGCAGTGTGCCTCAGCAAGAAATCTTGGCAGGCCAGGCACACAGGTATGGACAGGCGATTTTTTTGTATTGACATGCAATGCACTATTGATACCCAAACTGTTTTTTATGGGAAAGAGGTTGCTGTGTGGGTGGCCAGATTCTTATGGTTCACTCCTCAATAGGACATCCTGTTACCAGGCTTGTGGTTGTTAGAGATTCCTTCAGCTGCACTATGGAAAATAGCTTGGCAGCAAGAAATGTCCCCAGCCAATCGTAGATAATTAGGTTCTTGTAGTGTGCATCGGCCTATGTCTTATGAATACCTGAACATCTGACTGCCAAGAGCACCTTGTAAATGTCAATCACAGATGGACCATGGATGTGTCCAGTTGGTGGTTTGATGAGTATGGAAGCAAAACAAAAGGAAAGCTTACCAAAGTAAGATTTGATTGAACTGATCAAGTCCCTTGGGCTGTGTGGTGGCAGAAGAGGGGCAGTAGCGATTGTGTCCCAGCGATGCTACTTGGGTGTCAAGTAGGAAAATGTGGGAATTGCCCCTGTCTTGTTGTTTCTTTAGAGCTGTGTGCCCAGGCATCAATCAGCATTGCCTGGCGATGCTGTGGTCAGAATGTGCTTCTGTTTAACAAAGTGTCAAGGTGTATGATTGGCATGTTTGGGACTAGCAGTAACAATGTTCAGAGCACCAGTCCTGCCTTGTCCTTGGACCGCAGCACCAATTGTTGTCTTTTCGGGGGCAGGTGTGCACACAGTAGACCCCCCCAGCTGGGTAGACAGAAGGGCACTGTGGCGTTGCAGAGGAGGGAGCCGTGCAGCCTGGGTTCTGTGATGGCAGTGCTTTGGTGCTCAACCAGACCCTCGCACACTACAGGTCTGAAGACAATACTTGGCTGGGCCGCAGAGAGTGGCGATCGTGTGCATAGTTGAGTCTGCCAGTTTTTGCTGTTGGCTGCTTGTTTTGATTCTGGGCTGTTGGATTCTCTGTTGCCGTTGCATTCCAGGGACCAGAGCAGTGGCATGACACTATTGCCTCATGAATGCGCAGGAATCAAAATCGTGCAGCAGATTGCCATTTTGATGGGCGTGGCAGTGCTGCCACATCTGAAGTCGTTGGTGGACATCATCAAGCATGGGTTGGTGGATGAAAATCAGAAGGCAAAGACCATCACCGCCCTGTCGTTGGCAGCGCTTGCAGAGGCAGCCGCACCTTATGGCATTGAGAGCTTTGATGATGTGTTGGAGCCTTTGTGGAAGGGAATCAGGTCCCTCAGGGGGAAGGTACTGGCGGCATTCCTGAAGGCAATAGGTGAGCCATTACTGCTGATGCTTGGCGTGCTGGGAACTAGCAACTTGCCACATTATTTTGCCTTGGCACCCAGCTTTCATGTAGCAGGCTTGCCTTAGTCAACAACCCAGTCTGCAGCAGCTCAGCTGTAGAATGCTTGTCAGTGAGGTAGTCCAATGATGTTGATCCAGAACGCGTCTTTCACATAACCCCTGGCAACTCTGGCCCCTGGTATAGGCATTGTGCATTTGGCAGCGTTGCACAAGCAAAGGAACTTTTGAAGTTGATATATTCCCTTCTGTGGCTTATTCCAGGTTTCATCATCCCCCTGATGGATGCTCGATATGCGAACTACTACACAAGGGAAGTGATGCTGATATTGATCCGAGAATTCCAGACACCAGACGAAGAAATGAAGAAAATCGTGCTGAAAGTGGTCAAGCAGTGTGTCTCCACTGAAGGAGTAGAACCGGAGTACATAAGAGTGGAGATACTGCCAGAGTTCTTCCGCTGTTTCTGGGTTAGGCGAATGGCACTGGACAGGAGAAATTACAGGTGTGTCTTCATTGCTGGCCACTCAACCTCACCAGGGGTCAATGGAGTCAATATATGTGATTGGCTTTGTCAAAGTAAGACATAACACTGCCTGTGCGCCTTCCCAGACGATGACAGGCGTGTTCTGACCATTCTACTATGTTCAGTGAAACCGAGTTGAGGGCAAATGAGGAATGTATTAACTGAGATGTCAGCTGATTCACTGACCTGCTGGTGGGTCATTCACCTTTGCTGCGTGTAGCTGGTACTCCACTATCAGTGCTGGTCCAGTAGCTGTTCTCATTCTGCAGAAGTGTGCAACCCCCTTTTCGGTTATTGTGCCTTGGCAACTTTGCAAGTGCACTTCATCCGCATATTGGTGTGCAACAACTTGCCAGCTGGAGGAAAGTGCAGCGCATTGATAGCATGTGTGGTCGATCTCTTGCAACAGGCAGCTTGTGGAGACCACAGTTGCTCTGGCTGAGAAAGTGGGGTGCTCTGAAATCGTTTCTCGAATCGTGGAAGACCTGAAGGATGAGAGCGAACCATACCGCCGTATGGTGGTGGACACCATCGACAAAGTGATTTCAAAGCTGGGAACCGCTGACATCGACGCTGTGCTGGAGGAGAAGCTGATCGACGGCATACTGTACGCTTTTCAGGAGCAAGTTAGTGACGACGCACATGTGATGCTGAATGGCTTTGGGACTGTGATCAACTCTCTGCACAACCGTGCCAAGCCGTATCTGCCCCAGATATGCGGGACGATCAAATGGCGGCTGAACAACAAGGCTGCGAAAATTCGGCAGCAGGCTGGGGACCTGATCGCCAGGATCGCACCCACGATGAAGTCTTGTGGGGAAGAGGTGCTGTTGGGACACTTGGGGGTTGTGCTGTATGAATACCTTGGAGAGGAGTATCCCGAGGTGCTGGGTTCGATTCTGGGAGCTCTCAAGGTGAGGGAGGCAGTCAGGCAGTGTGCCTACATTGTGCCTCAATATGTGTTGGCCAAGATTCATGAACTGCTGTCGAGTAAGAGTGTTAGATGGCTATGCCAGCAGCCTGTGAGAGTGCACTATTCCACCTATTTGATTGAACGCAGTCTTGCTGTAGACGTGAACAGATCAGTAGCTCAAGAGGGCGCCTGTGCCACCAATCCTTGACATTTCCGCTTTTGTTTCAGATGGCACCTTCGGAATTTGTGTTTTGGTGGATTGATTTGCCCTATCATGCCTTGTTCCTATGCTGAAGAACTGTGCTTTTCCAGAACTACAAGGGTCTTGTGGGAATTTTGCTGCTTTTCATGATCATTTAGGGCAGCATATGTGTGTGCACTTGCTGTAGTCCATTGTCAACATGGTGGGCATGGACAAGATGACCCCACCAATCAAGGACCTCCTGCCACGCCTTACACCCATTCTGAAGAACAGGCATGAAAAGGTCCAGGAGAACTGTATTGACCTTGTGGGTCGCATAGCAGACAGAGGACCAGAGCATGTGCCACCAAGAGAGTGGATGCGCATCTGTTTCGAGCTGCTGGAGATGCTTAAGGCACACAAGAAAGGCATCAGGTGGGGCATGGGCCCCCATGTGTGGCATGTACAGCTCCTGTGTGTGGAGGATGCTCGTGTTGTCAAGCGTTCTATGTGTTCAATGCATGTGGGTGGCCCGTTCGTCAGTTTGCAAGGAGTCTCAACACTATGAAGCAGTGTGTTGCTGGCTTGGGTGCTCATGCTCCATCCGCACATATGTCATTTATGGGCTTCTGTTTGGCTCACAGGTATTTTGTTCTGGCACTGTTGAGTGAAATCTGGCTAGCATTGGCATTGCCCTGTGGTGAGCTCAGTTGCTTATTGGAGCAGAACTCGTGCTGTGGTCTGCAGTGCATCGTTCAACATCAGTGTCATCAAATGCAATCGAGCATGGTCATTGATTTTCACAAGCTTGATGGCTAAGATGTCATGGTAACCATTCAGATGTCTATGTAGGGTAAGCTGCATCCTATGTGTTGGTGGAACCAGGCTGTAGGTACATTGCTAGTGTTTGTGGAGTCAACACTTTCACATGTAGCCTGCAGCTTGTGTTTTAAGTGTTTCTGGGTCCGGCGTTGTTGTCCAGTGCCTGCAGCAGTTTGCAAACAAAGGCAACATGGACGAGCTGGGTCTTTATAGTCAAAAGCTTGACTATCCAGACCAATGGGCTGACCTGACATTGGATATGTACCTGCTCTTCAGGAGGGCCACGGTGAACACCTTTGGCTATATCGCAAAGGCCATAGGTCCTCAGGACGTCCTGGTAACACTACTGAACAACTTGAAGGTGCAGGAGCGGCAGAACCGTGTTTGCACGACTGTCGCCATCGCCATCGTGGCAGAGACCTGCTCCCCCTTCACTGTCCTGCCAGCCCTCATGAACGAGTACAAGGTGCCAGAGCTGAACGTGCAGAACGGCGTGCTCAAGGCGCTGTCCTTCATGTTTGAGTACATCGGTGAGATGGGCAAGGACTACATATATGCTGTCAACCCCCTGCTGCGCGACGCCCTGATGGACCGCGACTTGGTGCATAGGCAGACTGCCTGTTCTGTTGTGCAGCACCTGGCGTTGGGGGTTGCTGGCCTTGGGTGCGAGGACGCCCTGCTGGACCTGATGAACTATGTGTGGCCAAACATATTCGAGACCTCACCACACGTCATCAACGCAGTCATGGGCGCAATCGATGGGCTGCGTCTGGCCCTGGGCCCTGCCATCATCCTGCATTACACACAGCAGGGCTTGTTCCACCCTGCCAGGAAGGTTCGGGAAGTGTACTGGAAGATATACAACAATCTGTACATTGGGGCACAAGACTCCCTAGTAGCATTCTACCCGCCCTTGGAGGATGAGGGGGTGAACACCTACAGGCGGCACGAGCTGGACGTGTTTATTTAGAACGGATCGGGATGGCTGGCAACCTGGCTGTTCGTTGGCGAACGATCACCTGCTGTCGTGTGCTGTTCAGTATTGTCAAACCGTGCTTGGTCGCCAACATCTTTGTTGGTGGAGTGGGAGAAATTGGGCAGGTAACGAGGGCTTGTCTGCTGGCCACTGTGCGGCCCTGAAATGTAAGACAATAGACTCAAGATGTTGAGCAGCCGCCGGGACAGCAGCCAGCGGGTGCCTTTCGTCATCAAATCAGCAGATGCCTGAGTGCTGGCTGCCTGCACTAAATATCTGTGAATTCCATCTTGTCTGATGGAAATGCAAGTTTGTGTGCTAGATTAACAAGGTCGTAGACACCGATTGCAGTTTGTGGCCTTGCCTGTTGTCAGCTCACGCTCAGGAACGGTGGGGCGAGTGGCTTGACTTCCCCAATCCTCGGGGCGTTACCGTGGTATTGTGACACTGGCGGCGACAGCTGGATTCATGGACGTGGCTTTCCAGCCTCTGCACTTTGCCAGTTGCAAGTTTACGACGGGCCTGCTCGTGACCCGCTGGTCGCGTCATCCTCGACAGGTTCACCTCCCACCACGCCCGCTCAGGCAACGCCACTCCCGGCCCTGCCCGAATGCCTGCCAGGCGGATGTCCCAACATATTTGACGCATTCCAGACAAGTTGGAATGTGCGCTTGTTGGTGCGTTCTCGGGCAGCTGGGTCCATCTTTGCGCTAAATCCACAATTCGAGCACATCGATTTCTGCACCCCGAACGCCCCGAACTCGGGGACAGCACCAGTCTCGGGTCCCCTGGCCCAGCCGGCACTGCCCAGCGCCCCTGGCCACCGTCCCCTGTCCCCCGCCCCGCCCATGCCCCCCCGGGGCCCGCTCCTGCGCAGGACCCTCCTCCTCGCCCGGGCGGCCCTCCCCGCCCCGCAGCGCGGCCCCACCGCCTCGGCGCTGGCGCACGCCCGATCCGACGCCCCCCAATCGTCGCCCAGCCACAAGGCCCTGCTGGTCGACGCCGCCGGCACGCTGGTGTCGCCGTCCGAGCCCGTGGCCGCCGTCTACGGCGCGTTCGCCGCCAAGCACGGCGTGCGATTGTCAGAGGGCGAGATCCTCTCACGGTTCCGCGGAGCATTTGCGAAGCGCAAGGCGGTGGACGCCTGGAGCGAGCCGACATTGCGCTACGTGGGCGACGGTAGGGCATTCTGGCGCAGGGTGGTCGCCCAGGCCACAGGATGCGACTCAGAGGCGCTATTCGACGAGGTCTACGAGCACTACGAGAGCCCTGAGGCGTGGAAAGTCACTCCGGGGGCGATGGCCGCATTGCGAAGGCTGAGGAGCTCGGGCGTCAAGGTGGTGGTTGTCAGCAACTTCGACACGCGCCTGCGGCCGCTGTTGATGGGGATGGGCCTCGGGGAGGTGTTGGACGAGGTGGTGGTTTCCGCGGAGGTGGGCGCGGAGAAGCCCAACCCGGTGATCTTCGAGACGGCGCTGGAGGCGGCGGGGGTGGCGCCGGGTGAGGCTGTGCACGTGGGCGACGACCGGCGGAACGACCTGTGGGGCGCGCGGGACGCGGGGCTGGAGGCCTGGCTGTGGGGAGAGGACGTGCAGAGCTTCGAGGAGGTCGCGGACAAGATCCTGGGCTGCGGGGCCCCGTAACAGGGGACCGGGAAGAGAGTGACGCGAGCGTGAAGTGCTTGCGTAACCATTTTCGGTGACGGCTTTTTCCGGGCCTATTTCCGGGAAGACTTGGGGCTGTTGGATAGGATTGTGGCGTGATTGTGTTATGATTTTGGCATGTGCATGTCCTTACTTTAAGTTAGGTAGGGCGTGCAACTTCTCGGAATTTCCCCGGGCAGGTCCATTGGCAGCGGGCCACACTGCCGGGTCTGTGTGGAAGGAATCCCGACTTTGCGCTGCATTCATCTTGGCCTGGATGCTTCACTCTGGCCAAGAAGGCCCCGCGCATTCTCCACGTTAGGGCAAAGGGAAAAGGGGCAACAGCGTGATGCGCACGCACCGGGTTGGCACAGCACACCAGGGCGACGCTATTTTGAACATGGTGCCATCAGCAACAGAAGCCTGCAGAATTGGGGATGAAGACATCACAATTTTCGTGGTAGTCCATGCACAGCCACCTTCGAGGGGGCCCTGGGCCTAATGGGCCTGGAGGCGAGCTTCCGCCCGAAGACAGTTTTGAAGCTTCCAGAATTCGCAGTAGTTGCTGCATTGGCGCCTGCACTTCATTCATTTTTTTGTGCTCTCGAAATGGTGCACCTTTTCTGCTCTCCCTATTCTTGCACAAATCTAAGGGGGATACAGGTGAGGCAGGCTATCGGGGCATATTGCAGAACAGCCTCTGTCGAGAACAGCATTGTATATTTGTGTGTTAAAGGCACTGTTGGTCAAGGGAAGTGCATTGGCCGTTCGACTGGCGAGGTGCAGTGAGGATGGTCCTGGGGCACATCTGGCCCCTGTGTGCGCTGTGGCAAAGGTTCTTGATCCCTGTTTCTCGACAAATTTCACTGCCTGAACCACCCATCCCTAGGAGGCAACTTGAACTGCCTATAGATAGAGTCTTTCAACAGGGAATACTGTTCAGCACAAGAAATAAGCATTGGAAGCCTCTAGATCCCTTACTAATACAGAGTCCCCCACCATCCACCCTGCTCAAAAGCCCACACAAATGCATCATTCAGGCCAGTTTGGAACACCACGTTGGCCAAGCAGGGGCCATCAGTACCATGCAGAAGAGTTGCACCACAGCAGAAGCTAACACCAAGCTCTGCCCGCCCTTTCTCTGTCATCCACCCTCCGCCTTGGCTTGCTCCACTTGTTGGTCCTGTGCCTCAACGACACGATTGACTGCTTTCCTGCTTGGCTCCTGCAGCTCCCCTGTGTGGAGGGCAACATCAGCAACAAGACGAACTGCTGAATGCGCACCATTCTGCAATCTTGCAGCAACTATTGCAGTCCAACTAAATTTCAATGCTCTCAAGTAAACGAATCGAGGCACTATAGTGCAACAGCAATCTATCATAAGCATGGCCACACTGCAAAATCTCCAATAGCGCAGCATCGCTGCCAAAGAAGTAGCCCCTTTGACATCCACGTATTTGCCAACAGGAGGGATATGGCCCGCCCCAGAGTGCCTCCCACACCCTACAGAGCCTCCCATGCGCGGTGATGTACCTCATACAAAAATACAGTACTGCAGTCCACATGGAAGCTACGTTGGACAACGCGTCAACACCAACAGTCCCATGTACTGAGGTAAAGAGTGTGAGATCGTGTTTATTGTTCTCTTGAGGCGTCGCCTGCTATTGTACCCATTTCGGAGAATTATTGGAGTACCACCTGCTACTGTTACCATTGTAGGAGAACATGCAAATTCTAGTTTGTTGCAGCTTCCACACATTTGTACTGTGTCCTCGTTGCTGCCTGCATGACAGAAAACCATACAGCAGCAGCACCTCTGCTCCCACTGCAACTGCCTGGCATGTATGCTTCATGAACGAACAGTGACCAAAAACACACGAATTCGACGCCGCTGTGCCTGCCATCGCCTTCCAGGTGCAAGCATTTGTTCCTCTTGTCTTTTGAGAAATGAAGTCAATAGAAACAACAAATGGCAGTGACACAGGACCTCCATGTGCCCACCAGCCACCTGCATCTTGTTGTCTGTTCATTGCAAGCTGCAACGCAACAAGCCCTCTGGCTTGACTGCAGCAGGCACGTCGCTTTCAAGCCATCTGCCAGGGTATGCTGGAAGTTCATAGTTTGCAGACAAATGCTGAAGTTTGACTTGACAGCATGTGGGTAGGCACCCTTGTTACCTGAAATGACCAACTCGTCTAGTATGTAGTACGCTTTGTGGAAATTGAAGATCAGGTCGAGCTCACACACGTTGCCAAAATACCGGTCCAGCACTTCCACGAATTGGTGGATGATCTCCAGAGTGATGAGCTCATTGTCTGTCGGCTCAATGCCAGCCACAAAGTACAGGCTGGCATAGCGCTTGTACACAATCTTCAGATTCTTCCAGTCCAGAAAGTTGCACAGCTGGTAAATTGCAAGCAGCACTCATCAGCGCATATGTCCACATTCCACATGCATGCACATACCATTGGCCATGGAGCACTGAAGCCCAACAGTACCATCAGCAAACATTCCATTTGCTGTGGCCTTGGCACCAAAATGACACATTGACCGCATTGGCGCCCAACATTTTCATGCACCAAACCATGTCAGGAACATTTAGAAAGCTGTCAATTCAACACAGGTGCCATTTTTCCACACCACACTGTTGTTTCAACAAGCACAAACAACACCTGAGTGCCTTTTCTGAGCCTTTTTGCCTGTTCCAAGCCGGCTGTCTTCTGCCAAGCGCCTTCTCGCCAAGTGGCACTGTTAAGGGGCTTAACAAAATTGATCAAAACACTGTTGTCACAAAATAAACAATGCTGCAGATCATTCACCGCCGCTTTGAAGCACCACTTGAACCAGCACACAAAGATGCGTGGCGCGTTCCAGATGCGCGTCATTGGCTATGTCAGCAGCAGCCACATAGAGATTCCAGTCAACGTGGGCCGGTGTGACGTTCCGCGCCGCACCTTGAGCGGTCTCGCGAGTATGATCGGCGTGATGTCCTTGATGACCCTGGATCGGTCTTTCTGATTGTAGGTAGAGTACCACTTGGCGAGGCGAACCTTGCCCTGGCGACTGAAGAGGATGAGGAAATGGATCTGCACGAGGGCAGCACAAGGTGAGCACAAGGTAAGCACCAAGTGAGCACCACGAAATCAACCACCTGCTGGGTCGATCATAGCGCTGCCGTCGGCACGCCACGCGGTTGGGGCTTCGCATGCCTTTGCCTCCCAAGCCGCGACCCGGGGAAATGTCAAACAGTGTGGCCGGCCCCGAACTGTGGCGTCCTCAGTACATGCCGTGGGAACGGGGAGCGGGGGACACAAGACTGCTGCCGCGCGTCAAAGAAGCCTTACCATGGCAGGCTACCCCGCAGCATGCGCTGTTTGCTGCACCCTCGAGCACAAACGGCGACACTGCTGTCCGTCGGATGGCAGCCGGCCTGGGTTGGGCGGTGGGCGGGCAGCTCTGCCAACGGGTTGTGTGCATTTCTCCGGCCTTCAGCAGGCTTATGCCGTATTCAGCACTGCCGTATTTAGCACGAAATACGGACACTGCAAAACACGTACGGACGCGGGAAAATACGCGCACTTTCCGCAGTAAGAAAGCAGCTGTAAGACGGCAAAAATACGGCAATTTACACCAACTACATCCTCAAGTTCAGTGTGTACATTCAGTTACTGTCCGTTCACCTGCTCTGCCATATGATTACGGATGTGCTACGCTGAAGGGTTGAGGCTGCCAGGTCCATGTGGGCGTTGCTTTCGCTCAGTGCGCAGAATATGTAAGCACGTCGTATCCCCCTCACGTGACCTCCGACGCATCCCGAAGGCGCCCCACAGCCTCATATCCGACGACGCCTGTCAGGCGATGGCACCGGTGCGCGCACCCGTCAATCACAACAATGGCGCAGCCCAAGTGTATGTGGGTACCTGCGCCTGGGCGGGTGCGCCCAGGGAACGGTCTTGCACAGGAACGCTTCCCTGCTGCGATGCCAAGTTCGCGAAGTTCATCTTCGCCGGGTCCATTGTTGCTTTGGCATTGCCACATTTCCTGATTGTGGCCACCGGCCGCTTGTGATAGGTGACTGGCTCCCCGGCCGCCACAGAGCACAGGCTACGGTGGGGGAGTAGGAGGCCACTTCGAGACGCCCCTCATTTAAGGACCTCGTAAATGAGGCCCATCCTCATGCTTGCATCTGCCACAATTTGCGGCATTCGTATGACCTTGTTTCCATGTACCGCCATAAATACGCGTACTTAATATTGTTTGTCTTGAAACTACCAGTACCATAGACCATTAAAATGTAAGCGCAATTGACAATCCTGCTGAACGGAAATGCGCCTCAGAGTGCAGATCTCTGTTAAAGGGCATCCGTCACATGAGAAAAGTCGCCCGAAGGCAAAGCTTGCAAAAACGCATTCGTTCACATTCTTCAATGCGAAATAGACCAACAATGAATGCACCACATTGACTTCGCACGTTTCACGGTGCATTACTGCGAGGAGATCGAGATCGCAGTACATCAGGGTTGTACCAATGTACGATTGCCTGGTAACATATGTGAATGACACATCTCTACATTCTTCCGACTCTTTCAATAGAACCGCATGAGCAATTTTCTTTCATGCATTGATGCAATGCGAAAAATGCAAATTCCACCTATAGCAGCTGGGGGTTTTCAGAAGCAGATCTCACAACCAATCGACGGATCAGGCGGCTTCTAATTGCAAGAACACCCATGTGCAGCTCACGGTGCGCACAGGGACGCTCATGTTCTCTAAGCGACCAGCTCCCGGTATTATACCAATGGTGCGCAGCCTGTAGTTCACTGCCAAGTGGTCGTGAGCACAGCCGACCAGAGGGTTGGACGAGACAGGGGCGCAATTTACCGACAGGGGCGCGATCCCGCAGTGTGGCTCTTGCAACGATTCTGGTGGCCTTCTAAAACACCCATTCAGCGTGCGGAAGGAGAGGGCAGTTGACCCAAAAGGTGCCATTGCGTATTTGGAAAAATGTTGTACCTTCCGAACAGACTCCATTCAGATTTACGTTCCGCGGCATTCCCGAACTCTGGAACTCTTGGAAGAGTCCCTCCACTATTGGATACCCCCACGGTTTCGGCAATCGTTACGGCTCTCAGTGGTCCTGCTTGCCGTCATCAACAGTTGCATTGCGCATTTGCAATGCACACAGGACGGTACCTGAGCTGCGGGCCGTGGCTGGCATGCCCACATCTTGCACACCCACACCTTGACTAGCACAATGGGAACACAATTTCCATATTTAAACTAATATATATCATGTCTTCCGGAGCGAGCGGTGAGAACAAGCGTGTTTTGAACGCTGGATAAGAGCGGCGCAATTTGAGTAAAACCTGTGAGAATCTATGCAAATCCACCAACACTTCGATAGTGTACGGCAATTCTGAGAGGAGGCACATTGGTCCAAAGCCCAATGCTTAATGCATCCCCAGAGGTGACACAGCCATTACAATCCCAGACCAACGGATCCGCTGGTCATCCAATGTCGTCCGGATGACATTGCGCAATAAGCATGCAAGATACTTCAATGTACTTCATGAAGTACTTATTGCGGGTTTCCCGTGGGTCATGTACCCAAGGCTGTGCCCTCCAAATCGGCTCCACTGAATGGCGAGAGCCAGGAAGAAGTCTTACATTCTAAACTCCATAATTTCTTTTTGTTCTCTTCAATTGCCATTTTTGGGACAAGGTGGTCGAATTTCTGGTCTGATTTTCCACAGAGTACCAACACATACTTGGAATTCAAAACCCATCCAACAGAAACTTCGTCATTGCGCCAAAACTGAAAACAGACGGAAGAATATGCCAGAATGGCCACTACTATCTTCAGACATTATTCACACAATGCGGCATTGCCAGGCACACCACGATGTCCCAGGTTTGCAAGGCGTTGTAGACATCCGCGCGCAGCACCTTCACATGGAGCAGCTCCCCAGAGTCCCGCATTTTCATCCAGATGAATGATGCTGTGGACTTAGGATTGTGCGTTTATGCAGAAATGCGGTACAAGTAGTGCAAGAGAGGTCGTCAGTATTGAGTAAAAAGCAGCCGCAACTGCGCCCACTGGGCCCTGTGTTGCATAAATTCATGCGTACTATTTGAGCGATTAAATAAATATTGAAGACAAATGCTGTCAGGTTTTGGTGCCGTTTTTGAGTGTTTGTCCCCCAACTGTCCCTGTTTTTGCCACGCCGACGGGAGAGGGGAGGCGGCGGCATGGCAAAGGTGTTACTGCAGCGGCGATCGGACATAGGCGCCCTGAAATTCGGTTTGTGTCCCTGCACGGTGGGTTTCATTGTTTTCAGAAAAGCAGGAGCAAATCTGGCAGTCAAGTCTACGACGCCGGTGTGCCCTCATTTGCGCCACGACACAATCTGCCTCTACTGGAATAAGGAAAGGCACGACTTGATTGGTGCGGTCTTTAGGAGGCCGATCGGCGCAAAAGGGTGAAGTGGATCTGGAGATAACTTTGCTTGCTTCAAGGACATTGTCCTCGAGGACATGGAGCTCCATGACTGCGGCGCAGCATTTCCATCACAAAGGATTTCAAATTTGTAATCCAGAGTCCATTTCTACAATAAATCAATTCTTTCAAGCAAAGGATGGCTAGTGAAGAAGAGAAGAAGATGAAGATTGGGCAATTGCACAAGAATTGAAAAGAAGCGGATTGAAATGAAGGAGCAAGATACTGGATTTTCGAGCCCGGAACGGCCATTGCTTCGTGTCGAAAATTGTCGACTCCGAAGAGATTGCAATTCAAGACGGAAAAGCCGCTTACCCCCTTTTGGAGGCGATGGCGGGAGCTCTCACTGCTTGATGGCATTGCAACGGTGGCAGTGCCACTCCCAACCCCAAAATTTAAAAAGGAAACTGGAAAAAAAAACTAGAACCCCGAACAACCCTGAACCCGACGCTGAAAAGGTCCTGATAACAAGCCCCGTCACAGCCGCCCCTGGATCACGTACCCAGGGGCGCCGTCCCCTGTCTCCTAAACCAAAACTTCGGGGTGTCCCGGACAGGCGCTGCCACAAACACTGCGTGTTCAGAAACGCTTTGTGCGCAGCCTGACAAGCTCGGGTTTGACTGCCGCAGTTTCGCGGTGTTCAAAAACACGCTTTGGGCAGCCCCAGGGTCCACAGGAACTGCGTGTTCAACAACACGCTGTGGACCACCGATCCCCGACTGCAGCCCTGGACTCCCCCCATAACAGAGCCACAAAATGGAATTCCCAAATGCAATACCAAACGCCGCTACAGTGCGAAGGTGACGTCGATGTTCACGGCCCGCAGAGCGCTCGTCAAGGACTTCACTACCCGCAAAAAGCCGCCCTTCCTGTGGGATGACTGCCCTTGCGCCTTGCTGCAGGCGCCCTTCTCACCCTCCAGCCTCGTGTTGGTTTGGCCTTGCAGCGGCTCGTCCAAGTACAGCTGGCCGCCGCCCCCTTTCTGGCCGGCGGCAGCCACCATGAGCGCGATCATGGCCATCGAGCGCAGTCCATTGGCCCTCTGCTTGCCCTTCGCAGACGCTCCGGCAGCGTGGCCGCCGTTGAGTCCAGCCTTGTGGAGAAGGCGAGTGCCGCCAATGACGGCCATGTAGAGCATTGCGCCCCAGGTTCGGCGTGCGCTGTTGGCGTCGATGCGCATCACGTGCGCCTCCACCAGTTCCCCCGCGCTCCCCACCTTCATCTTCTTTGCGGAAGCGGGCTGGGACCGCGCCTTGGGCCCCGCGGCCCACGTGCGGCCGCAGATGCACTTGACAACGTGGTCGTCGTCGACGGGGGGTGGGGCGACGAGCCAGCCCGCGGTCGCAGACCGGAGGCCCAGCAGACCGCGAAAGAAGAAGCCCAGGCAGTCGTGTTGGGCCTTCCGCCGGGTGGCGTTGGAGTCCGACCCTGCCTCCACATCCTTGCCCGCATTGACGACCTGCACCGCTCGAGGGTGGTCTCCCCTCCTGATGCCCCTCGACGAGCATGCGCGGATGCACCGTGGGGTCTGCGCGGCAGGGGAGCAACGACGATTTCACCACCGGGTGTCGCAGGACGGAACGTACAATTGACACAGCCGTGAATTTGCCACGGCCTTTGATGTGCATCCTCTATTGGTCGGCAAACGGTGTGTCCTGGCTCCAACACCAAGGCACGATGCGCAGCTATCTGTGTCTGTAGCTGCTCTAGCTAGGGAACCAGCTAATAGGGTTACGTAACCCTATTATATTAGAGCAGTGGCTGTCTCTATTGACTTCTCGAATTTGGACAGCAAATACGAGATATTTCAGTACGACAAGAGATTGGGGCAGGTTATTTTTTAAAACAACTT